CCAGGTAATGGCGCTACATGAAAGGGAGCAGCAAGATCTCTGCGCATGGTTAGCAGGTCCTTACCAGAGCAGAAGGGAGCCAGCTCTCAAACAGCTCAGGCTTATACTGCTGCTACCAAGAAAAGACTAGCAGTAAGAATAGTGTACACTAGAAATTTCAAGGTTCAAAAAGTGACAGATACTGAATGATAAGGGGCAAGGCTAGTTTCAAACCTGTCTGTCCCTCCCTAATCCTGACCATGTCAATTGCTCTAGATAACCTCCCTGCTTGAAACTCACCGACTCTCATCCCAAGATGTACCTAAATACTGCCATTCCACTCCAGTCTGTGCTCTGTCTTCCTCCCTGGAGGACCTTGGGTTTACAGCAGATTTAGCCACTTCAATGTAAAACACTTCTGTTCTTGCTCAGTACTTTCTGTACCACATCTCCATAGTGAACTGCACAGCAGCTGAGGGTAAGAATGACTTTTTACTGTTCTTACATATGAACTAGTGGACATAAGGCCTGATGCCTGATAAACAGTCAGTGAACAATTCTTGAATGAATGAACAAATGAATGGTCTTCAGTGAATGGCTTGTATTAAGAATATGAGCCATTATAAAGTACAAATATTTAAATTACATAAATTAAAATTATTTACATGACTGTTTTGAAATCTTTCACCCACAAAAACAACTATCATTATCAGTCATAAAAAATAAGGTGTCGGGCTGGGAAGGTGGCTCAGTGGGAGAGCGCTTGCCTTGCATGCATGAGGCCCTGGATTCGATTCCTCAGCACCACATAAGCAGAAAAAAAAAAATAAGGTGTCAACTTTTTAATTATGAGCAAACCTGTATTAATCATGGATGGAGAATATAAATGGCTTTGAAAACCAGACCTATGTGATAGTTACAAAAAGGTACACAGAAATGTTTTGTTTTTAAAACAAAATTGATAATTGCTTGTAAATTGTAAATTTTCTATTTAGAAACAATCAGAATGTTCTTGTATTAAATTCTTGGTTTTGTTTTTCAGTTGATGACATTTGCATAGAAAACAGTATCTTTGTTTCTTAGGAGATCATCTGTTTCTGAAATGAGATGTATTTATCTTCAGAAATAACTTCCCCTAATTGTGACACAACTAATTTTGGTACTCTAAAAATGGCACATCATCATTCACAGAAAATGTATAGCCAGAATAACCGAACACCAGAGAAACAAAAAATTTGTTTTTTCATGACATTTACAAAACAATTCTATTCTAGAAAATATGATCTTGTATTTCAATAAACCAAGAACAGTGTTTCTGAAATTTTACCTAATTCATGCACACAAATAGAGAATTTTAAACCCTAGGCTCTCTAACAGGGAAAATACTATTTTCCCTGTTATGCAAGATAATAGTGGTTGGAAATTTATGGCAATTTCAATATTTGAATTTATTTACAATATTTTGGTAATATAAATTTAATTTCTACTTGAAAAACATTATCACAGTAAACCAGTATTAGTCACTTTGTAGATGAGAATGTCAATATCAAGGTGAATTTATTCTTTCAAACTTCTGATTACCATTTCCCATTGAGCATTTGTAAGACATCTAAAAATTATATTCACTTACTTCTGCAATTATCCTTGAAATTAACTTTCTCGGGCAATATGCATGTAGTTATAAATGTAAAAGTGGACTTTGTGGTCAGAAAAACCAAATTAGATCCTGATTACTATAGTATACCTCCACCACCTTCTAGTACAGATTACCTAAAAAAAAATTGGAACCTCTGTCATTTCATCTTCCAAAAGAAAATCAGGTTTGCTACACATATCATAAAATCTTATTCCAAATAACTAGTGAAGTAATCTTTAATGGACAATAATTTCTAATTAAGCATCAAAAATTAGTGTCTTCATAATTGACTTTAGCCACAACAAACCTCAGCTGGGGGACTCGCTCCACAATGGAGTGTACTAAGGCAGGAGCTCTACCACTTCTATCACACCCCTAGCTCTTCCATTTGTGCTTTTTTTCTCTCTCTCTCTCTCTTTTGTGTGTGTATGTGCTAGTCCTGGGTTTGAACTTGGGCCTGGCTGCTGTCCTTGAGCTTTTCTGCTCAAGGTCAGAATTCCACCACTTGAGCTACAGCTCCCCTTATGGATTTTTGGTCATTAATTGGGGATAAGAGTCTCATAGACTTTCCTGCCCAGGCTGGTTTTGAGCTGTGATCTTCAGATCTCAGCCTCCTCAGTAACTAAGATTACAGGTGTGAGCCACCATGCCTGGCTATATTTTGTTTTTGAAATAGGGTTCCCTAATTCTATCTGGGCTGGCCTCAAACTCTTGCTCCTCTTCCTTCTGCCTTCAAAGAAGCTGGGATTACAAGTGTGCACCACCATGACTGGTCACACTAACCTCCTTGCAATTAAGGGGAAATCAAATTGTTTTGGCCCCAGTTTTCTCATTGGTGCTCCCTCTGCATGACCGTCTCTTCCTTCTTTGTGTGGCTCAGACCTCTGATCATCACAGACAACCTCCCTCCTCCTCTTTCACAGTGGGAGGTGGCACCTCATTTCTAGCCTTTAAATCCATGCAGGCTGACAACTCTTTCCAGCAGGGTGCCTGTGGCAAAAACCAAGTATAACTTCTGAAGGAAGGTCACAAAAGGAGATGCAAACATGAGTGTCTACAGCAGCATAAGTTGTCAAAGCCAAAACTAAAATATCCTCCCACTACCTGAAGAATAAACATGATGTGGTTAGATAGCCATCCGATGGAACATTATACTGCCATACAGAGAAATGAAGCCGCAGTCACATGGCACAACAGGGGCGAGTCTAGAAGACAGCTGGTGAGTGAAGGAAGCCAAGCAGCGAAGACTCCATGCCCTGCCCTCAACATCACATATACACAATGTACTGGATAGGTGTGGAAACAGAAAGGACACTAAGTAATTGTGGGGGTGGGGGGAGCTGAGGTAATTAACAAATTCTGGAATTAGAGATGTACAACTGCATAAACAAAGAAAAACTCAGACTAGTACATATTAAAATGGGAGTTTTATGGAATGTGAGAATTGTATTAAAATCCTAATAAATATCCCATGAAAAAATGTTTTTGAAGTTAAACTCCTGACAGTTTAGCTTCTAACTTGTTCCTAGGCCATTCACTGTTAGAGCTCAAAGCTAAAATGATACAAAGTTGTTATTGTTGCATGGAGAGCCCATATGGAGAGGCTGCATGGAGAGGCCACATGGAGAGGCTATGAAGAGAGGCTGCATGGAGAGGCCACATGGAGAGGCTATGAAGAGAGGCTGTATGGAGAGGCCACATGGAGAGGCTATGAAGAGAGGCTGTATGGAGAGGCCACATGGAGAGGCTATGAAGAGAGGCTGCATGAAGAGGCCACATGCAGAGGGCACACGGATAGGCCGCAGTGAGGCTGTATGGAGAGGCTCCTGTCAACAGCTCCAATAAAGTGGCCGAGGACAAAGGTGATTATCACAGAGGGCAGCCTGAAGCTACCTCATCTGTCACCTGACAGATGAGTGACAATGCTTAGGGCAGAGCAGGAGTCACCATCCTGGCTGCCTGCCTCACCACTCAGAACCGAGGAGCTTGTTACACAGCAGTCCTGCTGGTGCACCTGCCAACAGCCTCTGCAGCTTCCACACCTCTCTTGGCCTATATGGCCCCCATGGCTTCCACATTCCCCACTATGCCTTCAGCCCCACAGCCTCCACAGCCTCCATGACCCCTTCAGCCCCACAGCCTCCACAGCCCCCATGACCCCTTCAGCCCCACAGCCTCCACAGCCCCCATGACCCCTTCAGCCCCACAGCCTCCACAGCCCCCATGACCCCATCAGCCTTCACAGCCACCAGAGCCACCACAGCCCTCACAGCCTCTGTGGCCTTCACAGTCCCCACAGGCTCCATAGCTATCAAGTTATTCACTTAGGTTTGCCCTGCCCCTCATCACTGTAAGTTCTCTGAGCACAGTGCTTTTCTGCCTTGTCCCATGAGCACATCATACAGAAAGCTTTTCAATGTAAAGCAAATATAACAAGGCACTGGTGGCTCATACTTGTAATCCTAGCTACTTAGGAGGCTGAGATCTGAGATCAAAGCCAGCTTGGAAGAAAAGTCTGAGACTCTTATCTCCAATAAACTGCAAAAGGCAAAGAGTGGGGTGTGACTCTAGTGGTAGAGCACCAGCCTTGGGCCAAAAAACTAAATGAGAGCACAAAGCTCAGTACAGGCATATATGCACATGTGTACACATATGCGTGCACACACACACACACACACACACAGACATTCATTGGTTGGTTCATTTGAATTATTGTGAAGCCTTTGCTCAGGTTTGGAACATGAACTCTAAAATGGAGATAATTACTTGTCTGGCCTTCTAGTATTCAAGTATAAAACCCTTAAGTATTTCGAATCAAGTAATCACTATTGTTTTTGTTTCTAAGTCCAAGATGATTTATAAGACTGAACATTCTTGCTGAAGTCATGAAGTAATTCATAATGTATTTCAAAAAAAGGAACCAAAATGGGCATGACCAAGAAATAAAATCTATTTAATCTACTTTAGCTAGGGAACTGTATAAAGTTTATTTTTTAAAGCATATTCTTTAGCCAGGCATAATGGCCCACACCTGTAACCACAGTTATTTGGGAGGCAAAGATCACCGGGGAGGCATAGGTTGGAAGAACCCAGTTTAGGCCAACCTGGCAAAAAACATAAAACCTTAGTCAAAAATAACTATGGGATTAGCTCAAGTGGTAGAAGATCTAAGAAACAAGCACAAGACCCTGAGTTCAAATCTCATCCTACAAACAAACAAATGAAAAACCAAACCACCACATTAAACAAGTCAGAGCAAATAAATTCAATTCAGGTTGAAACCCGGTAAAGGTAGCAATAACTACTGTAATTACAAATGCTTTAATGTTTCTATTTGTAAAACACTGTATTACTATTATTTTTCCTAACAGGGACGAAAGCCTACCTCTGGTGCCAGGTACTCTGGGGTGCCACAGAATGTCTTCATGGTGGCTGCATCTGTGATCCCTTCTTTGCAAAGTCCAAAGTCTGTAATTTTTATATGACCATCTTTATCCAGCATCAAATTCTCCAACTGTATATTAAGAAGAATGGGAAAAAATGACACACTTTATTCTAATACCTGAATGCTGAGTAGGCTATTTCCAAAAGAGAACATAGTTTTAGTTCACAGAACTCTTAATACTTATATATCTATATGTTCATGTATAAAGGAAAACATATTCATTTCATTGACTGGTTAGTTTGTTTATCTGTGCTGGTACCAGGGCTTGAGATGGCCTTGTGTTCACTTAACTGACATTCTACCGTTTGAACTACTCCTCCAGCCCAGCTTTTTGTTGGTTAATTGGAGATGGAATATCTTATAACTTTCTGATGAGGCTAGCTTTGACCTTCCATCAAGATCTCAGCCTCCTGAGTAGCAAGGATTTATAGGCATGAGCCCTCAGAGTCCAGCTAAGTAAAATATATTCTATCAAATACTTGATAACGATAAAATTATTAGAAACTGTGGTATAGTTTTATATGAAAAACTGGTGGATATGTGGTAAGAGATTTTATAGTGGTATAATTCTATAGTAGAGAAAGAGGTTTAAGAGACAGATTGTTTAAGTTATGAGAACTAAAGTCTAATCAACTTCTAAAAGCAAATATCAACCCTTAGCTTTTTTCCAAACAATACATGATTAAACAAGTCCCAAAAGATGGGAGTCTTCTTCTAGATGCATACAGTTTTCTAAAATTTCTCTTGGGAAGCTACTGTAATAACAAGACATATTTATTTTGAAATGCCTTTTGGTGATGGCTATAAATTGAACCTAAATCTCTTTCTGTGAGATAAGGGTTTTTTTTTTTTGTTTTGTTTTTGCAGTTCTTTGAAATGAAGTAGAAACCCCTTTAAATGTAAAAAGAGAGAGAGAAAAAAGAGTACCAAAGCTGGGGCTGATGGATCACGCCTATAATTCTAGCTACTCAGGAGGCTGAGATCTGAGGATCGTGGTTCAAAGCCAGCCTGGGCACGAAAGTTCATGAGACTCTTATCTCCAATAAATTATTGCTCAGAAAACTGGAAGTGGCACTGTGGCTTAAGTAGTAGAGCGCTTGCCTTTAGCTGAAGAGCTGAGGGACAGTGCCCAGGCCCAGAGTTCAAAACCCACAAGCAACAACAACAACAACAACAAAAGAGTATCGAAGTCATTCAATAGTTAATAAATACCCTACAATTTGAAGCCAAGTTATGACTATCATTCATTACACAAAAGTATGCATGAGTTTTAAAGTGTGCTCAAACAGCATTATGCAGAAGAAATAGACAATTGTGAAAAATACACATAACCAAATGAGGTTTAGTTAACTTTTTCTAAAGAAATATTTATTCTACTCTTTAATTTGACGGTACTTTGAAGTGTTTACTTCAAACTCTGAATAGCAAATTTAAAGCAAAACATGAACACATCAGATAGCAATCATATGGAGTGCAGTGACAACATGCATTATCCAATGTCTTAAAAAACAGACAATGCAGGTCAGGCAGCTGTGGAGAGACCTAAGCCCTGGCGCGACACCTCCACACACTGCCCGACCCCAAGGCAGGTAAACATTCCAAACACACTGCAGCTGTGGCACACATCAGAGAAGCCAGCCTTTCTTTAATTAGCCTACAGAAAGTTGGACAAGCTGTAAATACATCGCTGACCACTTTTAACAAGTTTTACATTTTATCCAAATTCAGGTGCTTTGCAACTTCTTTATGCTTTTCAACTAATTAGATTCTAGAAATCAAGCCTAATCTGCACAAATGATGGTAAATACTAAATACGAAATCTGACCTGAAGCATCAGTAAAGATTCTCTACTTTTCATTCCTCCCATCTCTCTCTGCCCATCTTTTTCTTCAAGTCTTTCATTTCTCTCCTTTTCCAGTTCTTTCAACCACCCTTCTTTCCTTAATTTGCCACAATTAAATATAAGAAAACCTTACATTTAAATTTGTGTTGCTTTGCTGAATAAAAGCCTTTATGCTCTAAACTTAATTTCTAAAATATGCCTATTATTTTAGGGTAAAAAATACCATAATCTTTTAAAATGATACAGTAAGATCTTTTAAAATATCTACCTTTTGGCCAGGTGCTATGGCTCATGCCTATATTCTTAGATACACAGGATGCTGAGACCTGGAAGACTGAGTATTGAAGCCAGCCTGGCAGAAAAGTTGGAGAAACTCCATCTCTAATTAACCAGTAAAATGCCTGAAGGTATGGCTCAACTGGTACAGAGCCCTTCCTAAACAAGAAAGTCGAGTGAGATGTGAGAGAACAAGGCTCTGAGGTTAAGCCTTGGTATTAGCATGCACAAAATTTTGTCTCTTTTGTTAACACACAAAAATTTTTATACAAGCTTCCAAGGATACATAACAATACTGAACAACATGTGAATGCATGTTGATCCCATTCCCACTCATTTGTACAATTCTCTTCACATGCCTCATGTGTGTGTAAACCTATGGCACATACTACCTCTCCACATTCTAACAGTTATGCTGAATGGCTATATACAAAAGAATCAAAATATATAAACATTTTTTAAACTGTATCAGGCAAGTGTGTGTTTAATACCAACTTGTACCTAATTATCTACCTTTGTATCTCAGCTCTGAACCTTACAAGGCAAAGGGATGAGGACTAAAAGGAAGAAGAATAGGGCTTTCCAAAAGGAAGTGTACTCTTTGCTTGACTGTAACTCCTCTGTAGAGGACTGGGTAAGAAATATGACATAGATGACAAGTGCTCCTAGTCTGTCCAGGGCTGAGGGTCTTTCTAGCATGTAGGACTTGAAAGTTCTATAAACTACAGGCCTGGGCAAACCAAGACACTTGGTCACCCGACTTGTTTTGTAAGTCAGCTTTAAAAAAATTACAATAACTTAGTAAGAATGAAGCTCACCTGAGGATAATTCTGAGAGAGTATGGGTCACAGCAATGGGAGGCAGGAGAGAGCTAAGTTGGTTAAGTGTGAAGTACAAACCTGAGGCTCACACTAAATTTAGAGCTGACCCCTTTCCACTGTACGTCACTGGCGTACTGCTAACTTCTATGTGCTTCAATGAAGATTTTGAGAACTCACCAAAATGGTGAAAGCAGAACTTAAACTGTAAACATGGATGTTGAAAGGAGAACTTAAACTGTAAACATTCAATAAACAATCATTCTTTTAAACACGGAGAATTTAATGATCAATTCCTAAGTTATCAAAATGTGGGCCCTACTAGATGACACTGTTAAAGGGAGGAGAAAAGTTCAGGAAGGAAACTTCATGAAAGTCCTTAGTTCAATGACTGCATTAAAAATACCTACCAATATACAATAAATCATTTTGAAAATAATAAAACGTGTAATAATTTCAATTTTAGTTATTTTATTTCTGCTATCATCAATTGTTTTCCTGTCTCAAAATGTCATTCGCTGAATCCCAAACAAGTTTTTCATCACAGATATGAACAAAGAGAGATGCACTATCTTAAAACATACTCTTAAACTTAAAATAACCTAACTAATGTGAAATCTTTACAAAAAATAATATCTCACAGAAGGTACACTAACAATGTTACTATAAAAACAAGTACAAAAAGTATCAGAGTTATTCAGGAATATGAAGAAAAAAGTTTTTTAAGCAGATTAATGACATGAAGGTAACAAAGGCACCTAGAAATGATGCATTCAGTTCTTTTAATATTAACATAAACTTGAGTAGTCATTTATAGGCCTCTTCCTACAATAGATAATAAGATAATTTACAAATTATCTTTCTTCTGCTATCTCTTCTGCATCTCATGGTTTTCCTTCTTCCTTTCATTAGCTGCAAAATGCATATGGTTTCTCATTGTTCAGGCACTCTCTATTTGGGTTTATTATTATAGTTAGTTTCCAAGACAGAAGGGGCTGAATGCTCATAGCTGATGGGTTTCTCCATTGGCAGAAGCAAGGATGAAGTCACACAGGAGGTCATGAGAAAGAAAGATTTTTTGGTAAAACCTAGATAATACTACAAGGAGCAGTCAGTCAGAGGGCTATCATCCACAAGCTCAGGCTTTACGGGTGGAGTACAGTATAGAACAAGGGTAGAGCACTTGCCTAGCATGCACAAGGCCCTAGGTTTGATACCTAGTACTACAAAACTTAATAAGCAAATAAGAGAAACACACACACTTTTTAGAAGAAATTAGACATATACTCCATAGAATTTACACATACACACAAACACACACAGCAAACAGTTTTTGAAATGGGCAGGCAGAGGTCTTAACTCAGTGTGCATATGCAGTAATGGCAGACCTCGAAATCTTGTCCTCTGTGTATTGTGAACAAAAATTACTAATCACTAAAAATTAGGATCCTGCTGGTTTTGCATATAAAATTAAACTCTCAAAGTCCTATACACCCTTAATTCCATTCCATTTCACGGAGTAGGGTGTGGCCAGTTGGTGGACAGGCTAAGGCCTGGACTCCTGCCTGGGAAAGCAGGGGCCCCGCTGAGCGCTGTGTGGCAGAGGGAGGCCCCGCCAGCGCGGCCTTTATACAAAAGCAGGAGACAATAAGGAACAGCTGTTCCCAACTCTCACCTCCAAGCTCCTCTTTAGCTCTCTCTCAATATATCATGCCAGTACCAGTGGCTCACAGCTACAATCCTAGCTATTTAGGAGGCTAAGATCTGAGGATTGCAGTTCAAAGTCAGCCCAGGTAGGAAAGTACATGAGATGCTTATCCCCAGGTAACCTCCAGAAAGCCGGAAGTGGAGCTGGGGTAGAGTCCTAGCTCTGAGTAAAAGAAACTTGGGACAGAGCTCATGCCCTGAGTTCCAGCCCCAACATACAATGAGCTCAGTGTTCAGGCACCAAGGCCATAAGGAGTCCCTACTCTGCACACACACACACACACACACACACACACACATCTAGGTTTATGGATATCTGACTACCATATGTCACAGACTGACACACAGGTATTGAAAGACAGGGAATTCAGTGAACTGCAATACTGCAAGAATGAGTCTTGACTTCCAACACACTCAAATCAAAAATAATTTACATTGTGTAAAACTGGAGAACCTGCCGTGCCTCTCTTCCCCCCTCCTGATAAAAATAAGGACCATGGCCCAACAGTACAGTTTAACTTAATACTAACTAGTGCCTACGTTTTCTAGAAAAGAGAGAACGAGACAGGCCGTCTGGTTAGAAGTGAGGGTGGAAAAACATGTCTTCAGACTTCGTGTGCAAAGCAAGCACAGTCTTTTCATTAAGAGTATTTATTGGAGATGAATATCAGGGAGAAATGTCAAAAGCTAGGAGGGCCACCTCTGTGCCATCTTAGGGTCTCAAAAATGGTTTATACAAATAAACATGGTATAATACAAATACTCTCTAGGTAGAAAGATTAGCTGTTCCAAAAATTTAGCAGCAGTTTATTACTTTATCCCCTTATAAAGCTCTAGGAGAAATTAATTATTTTTAATTTTATTTTTAAACATTATAAAGGTGATGTACAGAGGGGTTACAGTTACAGAACTCAGGTAATGAGTACATTTCTTTTTGGACAATGACACTTCTAAGAAATTAATTCTTAATACTTCCAGTATTAGCTTACCTTTGTAAGTGTTTAGTCATAGCTGTATTTGGAAAATTATACATAAAGTAGCTACTTAATGTTGCAATTTAATGCATTCAGTCTAATTCCATCATCAGAAGCAATAGAGAGTAAAATGAGTATTAGATTAACTGGACTATAACTAATATACTGATTCATTTGATTAGAGATGATAAATAGAGAGTATCAACCAAGATTCTCCTGATTATAACAGTCCATATCAATGCTAGCAAATTAATGAATGTTACTTAAGATAACAATTCTTTTAGCTACACTTTTAGCTACTTTAAAATTGCTCACATCCCTAAAATCCATACCTTACCCCTTTTGTTCTTATAAATAGGATCCTTAAAACATGAGATGGGTAAAAGGAGACTCAGGAAGGAAAAATATATTTTGGGAGTTAACAAATATTCTGCCATGTTATAAAGCTAATTTCTTTAAATCAGTATCTTCTAATGGACCTTTTCTTTTTTTTTTTTTTTTTGGTAGGTCATGGGGCTTGAACTCTGGGCCTGGGCGCTGTCCCTCAGCTTTTCAGCTCAAAGCAAGCACTCTACTACTTGAGCCACAGCGCCACTTCTGGTTTTCTGAGTGGTTTATTGGAGATAAGAAGTCTCAAGGACTTTCCTGCCCTGGCTTTGAACCTCGATTCTCAGATCTTAGCCTCCTGAGTAGCTAGGATTATAGGCATGAGCTGCCGGTGCCTGGCTTAATGAACTTTTTTTTAGTTGCATTACAGTTCATTTTTCCTAAATACAGTATCTTAAGAGTCTCTGTTACTTTTCTGTCTATTTTTTTTTTTTTGACAGAAGGTCTTGCTATATATCCTGATCTCAACTCAAACTCACTATTTTGCCCAAGCTGGCCTAAAACTCACAATGGGATTATAGCTATGTCCTACCACACCTGGGTAAAAGTTTAATAATTAATTTATTATACAACTACATTCAATATTTTACTTGTCACTATACAAAATTATATTTTACAAGAGAGATACTCATAGCATAAAGGAGCATAGTAGGAACATTTTAATCTAGAGAAATTCTTACATAATATAAATTAAGAGTCAATTTTTTTTTTTTTTTTGCCTGGTTGTGGGGCCTGAACTCTGGGCCTGGGCGCTGTCCCTCAGCTCTTCAGCTCAAGGCTAGCTCTTTACCACTTGAGCCACAGCGCCACTTCTCTGCTTATGTGATACTGAGGAATCGAACCCAGGGCTTCATGCAGGCAAGGCAAGCATTCTGAGCCAACTTCCCAGCCCCCAGAGATAGTTTTAAAGAATAGAATTCTGATTTCTTAAGGTACATACTTCATTTCACAAATAAAATTCTATTAAAAAATCTCAGATGTCTATTTATCTTTTTTTTGGCACTAGTGTCTGGACTCAGGGCCTCATGCTTACTCAGCTGGGGCTTTACAACTTGAGCCAGGTCTCCAGTCTAGCTTTTGACTGGTTAGTGGGAGATGGAGTCCCAGACTTTTCTGCCAAGGCTGGCTTTAAACTTCAATTCTCCAGGTATCATCCTCCTGAGTACTTAGGTTTCAAGGTGTGATCCACTGGCACTGGCATAGGTGACTTCTATTTCTCTAAGTCAAATTGCAGCTTACATAAACTGGTACTTAATCAGTAAAGCAATTCTGCATTTAACTATTTTTTCAAAGCCAGTCTCGGGGCTTGAACTCTGGGCCTGAGCATTGTCCCTGAGGTTTTATGCTCCAAGCCAGCACTCTACTGCTTGAGCCACAGCTCCACTTCTGGCTTTTGGTGGTTAATTGGAAATAAAAGTTTCACAACTTTTCCTTCTTTGGGCTAGCTTTGAACTGCAATCCTTAGATCTTAGCTCCCTGAGGAGTTAGGATCACAGGCACGAGCCGCTGGTGCCTACCTTGAATTGAACTAGATTACTACACTACCAACATTTTCATCCTATAGTGGGGACTGAACGCAGGGAATCACATATTCTAAGCAAGTGCTCTATCACTGAATGACATCCCTGGTCTATTTTATCTAGGGGCGGGTCTTACTAAGTTTCCCAGGTTGTCCTCAAGTAATGATCCTGCTTCAGCATCCTAAGTAGCCTGAATTACAGGCATGTGTCACTATATTTGACTTATAGTTCTTTTCCACCACCTACTGCTGGGGATAGAACTCAGAGCCTTATGTTTGCTATGCAAGCCAATTATCATGAGGCTATTATCCCACTCCTAAGATTGAGTTTTAAGGTAGTAAGACTAGAACATTTAGAATTGGTTCAAAACACACCACAGTACAAATTTTCTTAATATAGGCAACCTCATTTATAAGAGTGAAGGGAATTATTACTAGCTTACACGTTCTGTTCCAGGGATCTGTAAACTATGGTATGTAGACCAAATCTAGACTACTGCCTGTTTTGTCAATAACATCTTATCAGGACACAGCAAACATGCTCAGTTCCATAATGTATGGGATTGTCCATAAACAGAACTGAATCGCTGCAACAAAGACTTCATGCGCAGGAAAGATGGAAGTATTTATTATCTCACCTTCACAGAATGCCTGCTCAATCTGAGCTGTCCTTGGATTCTCATCCTACTAAAACTTAAGAGAGGTCAAAGCTCTTATCAATAAAACACAGACTATGCTTTTGTGAATAAAAAGCTTAACAAATAATATCCTTTATTAAAATGCATCAGGTATCAAAACCTACCAAAAAGTTGTAACTCTAAGCAAGATGAATGTTTTCCTTCTGTCTTATTTATTGTAAAAGCGTCTTTATAAACACTACAAGATGACAGAATATAATGAAACTTGTTTTAGTATGTCACTTGCAAAGTTATTTGACTTTTATTCAGATGTTCCAAAAAAATTTTTTTTGTTTGTTGCAGGACTTGAACTTTGGGCCTGGGCGCTGTTCCTCAAGGCTAGCGCTCTACCACTTGAGCCATTGCGCCACTTCTGGTTTTCTGAGTGGTTTGTTGGAGATAAGAGTCTTACGGACTTTTCCTCCCCGGGCTGGCTTTGAACCATGATCCTCAGAACTCAGCTGCCTGAACAGCTAGGATTACAGGCATGAGCCACCAGCACCCGGCAGATATTCAAAATTTTTTATAACACGTACAGAAAAATGAAACTATTATTGGTAGATCAGTCAATCAGAATAGTAAAGCAGAAATTATTTTGCATACCAAAAAATTCAAACACACAGGAACCACATGCATGTTAGAGAATGAAATTTCCTGTCAAAAGTAGCAGGACATTCCTAAAAAAAGTGTTTTTTTTTTCTGAACTAAATCTGCTTTTCTCAAAATTGTGTAACTTTTTAATTACTTTGTTTGTCCCTATGGTCTCTACAGACAACAAATTTTGATTACTTTTTTTTTTTTACCTTGAGATCGCGGTACACAATCTTTCCAGAATGTAGATAGTCCAAGGCAGAGACAATTTCTGCACCATAGAAACGTGTGCGGTCCTCAGAGAACACTCGCTCTCTCGACAAATGGAAAAACAGCTGCAGGGTAAACAGCAGGGACAGGATTGTAATAATTACTGATTTAGTGGGGGAAATTAACACAAACATAAAACACTTCTCACTGCCATATTGTGATGATAGATAGTGTACTCTCCGTGGACACTCGGTACTCTTAGACAGCAGCTGGCTTATCTTTCCCAGGTTTCCAAAGGGAAACCAAGAGCTGTTAAATCAGCGTTTTAATCAATATACCAATCTTGTTTAAGGCATTCTGCTTGCTACCCATTTAACCTTCAGTTACCAGAGGAGAAAACCATGCACCATTAGACTGCACTTCCTCTCACTACCCTGCTGCTTCACTCACTCAAGGAACAGCTACTCACACAGAAGGAAGGAATAGGGAAGAGCACAATCCCAAAATTCAATGCATAGGGGAGGAGTTGGTTTGAGAGGGATGGGAAAGAATTATTTTTAAACTGATTTGTTGAATGGTAACCTCTTTGAACAAATACTTAAAGATAATAAAAGTAAAAAATAAAAGCAACAAATAAACATTACACATATGCCTATGCCCATTGTTAACCAATAGAGAACTGTACTTAATTATTTAGATTGGTTTTTAAGAAACGTCAGTGATTTCCTCCAACCAGTTTATATGAACTTATAGTTTACAAGTTGATCACTATGTCTCTAGAAACAGTTTCAATGTTTGAGGCTACACCTTCCACAGTGAGAAACTTTGTCTCTGGTGTTTTAAATCTATTTCAATAATGTCCAATATAAACTGAGAGGCTTCTGTTATTCCTGCCATGATCCTCAATATATATTCATTATATTTTCAATAATATTTATCTATATCATTTTTTTCATATCATCATTTAAAATTATTCTTTAATTATCCACTATTCACTTGGAAACGAAAGAAGGAAAGAAGGAAGGGAGGAAGGGAGGGAGGGAGGGAGGGAGGGAGCCAAAAGGAAGTATAGATCTCATCTCTTAACTTCTACATGCACAGATCTCTTCTCTTGACTGGGGATATGAGGAGTCTTCTTCCCTAGCATGCGGCAGACACCGCAGGGAAGAAAACCCCAAACCACAGCTCACCCTTCAGTCTGACAACATAATAGAGAAGGAGCACAACTAGGAATTCTAGAATTCAGGATTATACACTATCAATCCTTGCTCTGTTTCAGTGTATTAAGAAATCTGCCAAGAACAAGGAAGAAGTGTCACAGTGCTGAGTACACTGCTAGCTGCCATGGAGGTACTCAACACATGTCTATGACTGGAGAAAAATGAGGCAATAAATATATGTTAGATGTTCAGAAATTCACAACACCTTCACATGGATCACTGACTTAATGTCTCTATAAGGCTGTTAACAATTTTGTTTACACAACAAGTTATCATCTGAAGTAACATAAAACAGTTCACTACAGTTTCTTACCTCCCTTGTCCCACTGCTCATTAATCTATTATTGCTTTCCTTACTTGGTCTTAAGGACTGCACTCAGGGCTTTGCATCAGCTAGGCAGATACTCCCATTGCTTAAGCCTTGGCTCTAGGCCTGTTTACTCTGGTTATTTTAGAGATAGGGTCTTATTCCCCCCCCCCAGATGGCCACTTTAGTACATTAATCCTTCCAATCTCAACCATCCATGTAGCAGATATGACAAGTGCATACCACCACCTAGCTACTGATTAAGATGGGGTCTTGTAACATTGAGCAAGATCCTTCCAATCCCTGGTTCTGAGTGGCTAGGATTATAGGTATGCGCCACTGTACCTAGCTATTATTGTTTTAAGACAAACTTTAAAATATTATCTACTAGCCCCAGTAAAAAGAAGAATATTATTGTCAAAAAAGTATTAAAATTGAGAGAATTTTGTCATATTAGAATTAAAATATGACAAAATTCTCTCAATTTTAATACTTGCTACCTAGTGTTCCCCAAATGCCATATTTTAACAATCTGGGGTGCTTGAGTCTGCATTGCCACGAAAGAAGGCTAATAACTAAAATTATGATACATTATGTACTAAAAATGCATTTTGACTGCAGAATGTTGTGTCTTACAAATGATCAAACTGTGGAATGCCAAAAATCAAACCAATTTATACAATTATTCAGTGACAATAATTATATTTAATGCATTGGCATCCATACAAGGGCACAGAGTAAAAAGGAACATGGGTTATCAATAAGCTGTTGTGAACAACTTCTCCCATACTTTACATCACTGGCTTTGATGAAGGAAGCCCTGTGGCTGCCCAGAGTTATAGTGTTTTTCTAAAGGGATAAAGACAGTGACTAAGTGTCTAAATTTTCTTAAAAGAAGGTCACTCTAAGCACTGCTCTTCTACTTTAGAAAGGAAATATAGATTCTCCCCAAACTAGTATAATATATTCACGATTCTAGGTCTTTATTTAGATTATGTATCTTCAATTTGTCTTCCAGCCAATTTCTATAAAAGTATCAGCTAAAATCTCAACTTATGGGGAAAAATTCTACATGCTCTCAATTCACTAACATTTCATGTCTACTCTTGCTACTTTATGGAACTCTTCTTTTTTCTTTTTTGGTGCTAATCCTGGGGCTTGAACTCAGGACCAGGTGCCGTCTCTGAGCTTTTTCTGCTCAAGGCTAGCACTCTACTACTTGAGCCACAAATCCACTTTTGGCTTTTTGATGGTTAACTGGAGATGAGAGTCTCACAAACTTTCCTGCTCTGGCTGGTTCAAACTATAAATCTCATATCTCAGCTTCCTGAGTAGCTAGGATTCTAAGAAGGAATCACTGGCACCTGGCCTATACCCATGCTTATAAGAGCATTATGCACACTAGCCAAAATATGGAATCAATATTTAGGGCCTATTAGCCAATGACTAGATAAAGGAAAATGTATATATATACACATACATATTTATATACATATACACATATACATACATACACATAGTAGTAATTCAGCCATATAGAAGAATAAAATCATGTCAGTTGCAGGAAAATACTTTCAATCAGAGATCATTATGTTGTGTGAGATTAGCATATTAAATGTTACACATTTCCCCTCATATGCTGTCTCTAGATGTAAAAAAATTAATATGGCATTATTGTAGAATAGTTTTCTTAGGGGGGAGGTGAGGGAGAGTGGGACAGTGAGAGGAGAGAAGGGAAAAGAGAGGATGACAGAGGTGAATACTGACACAGACATATTAACTATATACATATATAATATGTGAAGTAGCATAACTAAACCCCATGACAATTATTTTAAGAAGGTTGAAGGAAGGAGGGAGGTCAAATATAAAAGATTAACAGAAGTATAAATTTAATCAAAGTACATTTATATATATATGTATATATGTATAGAAATATCACAACAAAACCTGTTTGTAATCAAGTTTTACTCCTAACTAAAAAAAAAAAAAAAAGCAACTAAGAATCACTTATATGTATGAGGCCCTAGGTAAGATTCTTAGACATGGCATCCTACCAAAAGGCTGAACAGTGGCTCCTACCGGTTACTCTCTCTACTTGGGACGCAGCGACAGAAGGATGGCTATTTAAGGCACCAGGCAATAAGCTGGCGAGACCATTTTTCAAAATAATCTGTGCATAGTGGCTGAAACTTGTGATCCCAGTTATGATGGAGACCTAGGTAGGAGGATCATGGTTTGTGGCAAAAGTACTAGAACCTATCTAAAGCCAACAAGTGCTGGGGTGTGGCTGAGTGGGATGCTAGGCAGGTACAAGGCCGTGAGTTCAACACTAGTTTTGTTTAAAGGTAGGAAAGAAAAAGGAGACAAAAAACCAATAGAACTCAAAGTAATTAGAAGGAAAGGAAAAATAAATAAAACAAACAAGTAATAAATAATAAACAAGAAAACTAAGCAAGAACCAATGAACCAGGCAATTCAAAATTGACAAAGAAAAAAAATCTATGAAATTTAACTCTGGATCTTTGATAATGTCAATAAAGATGCCTAAACTTCAGGTGGGTCAAACTCAATATTAGAAACAAAGTAAAAGGTATCTGTATCGCCTACAAACATTATCAAAATGACAGACCTTATTCACAAACACATTTGCAAGTTGAAAAAAATCTCAATGAAATGGACAAATGACCAAAACTAACTCCAGAAGAAGATAAAGTACATGGCTCTGTATATGTACATATTTTTACATTTCAATTTATTGTTAAAAACCTTCCCACAAAGACAATCCTTACTAACAAAATTTGGCTGCTGGTAGAGGGTAATTCAGTGGAAAAGCACTTGCCTCGCCTGGATTCCTGCAGCCAGAGACCCCACACACTCTCCCTCTCCCTCCTCCCTTTTTCCCTCCCTCTTCCTCTCTATGAATGAAGTATGCCAGAAAGTAGTAGAAGTGGTGCTTCTGCTCATGTTAAGAAGTCAGTATTAACACAAATCCAAACTCACAGACTTTACTCTGGACAAGGTGTCAGGGAAAGATACTCATAGAATGATATTTGTAATGATTACCAGACTTACAATTCCCAATAATATTTTAGTTGGAATCCAAAAATATATTGAAAGGATAATGTCTTATAACTAAATAGAGTTTATCAAGAAATGAGTAATTTGTTTAACATTCAAAAATCAAACAATGAAATTCAAGGTATTAGAAATGATAAAAAAAAACTATCACGACAGATACATAAGGAAGTCCTTTGACAAAATTTAACAGCTTCTATGTCTCTAAATGTAAGTCCACAAACTAGGAATGAAAGGAGCTTCTTCAACTTCATAAAGAGCATTGATGACAAACTTATAGCTAACAGCAAACTTGCAGATAATGGTACAAAGGCCTTCACTGCAAAATTAGCTACATGGAGCCCATCATCTTTCCCAACAATGCTCTCTGCGATGACTGGTGATACGAAACTACTACATATATTGGTCCAAATTCACTGAACTTTGTATTCAAAATTGATGAATTATGGGAAATGATGCATAAAGTTGGAGTTGGCATTAAATTGTGCTTAAAATCATGCACAAAGTTCATCATGAAATA